GGTAGTTTCCAAATATGAGGGCATATGTTAGGGCAATGTTTGCTGCAGTAAAAGAAGAGCCCCCAAATCTCAGTGGTTTAAAACAATAAAAGTTTCACACAACCATAATGCAAAGAAAAGTAACTGGAACTAGGGCTTGCCCTGTCTTGCTGCTCTGAGGAACCCTGCCACAGCAACTCCGTGCAAGGCCCAGGCCAGCCCTGAGGGGGATGAAGGACACATGGCCCACTCATGGCTCTCACCCTAGCCAACAGCCAGACAGCTGCCAAGCACCAAGAGCCACTTAACTGACCAGTAGCTAACCAGGAACCCACGAGGGAGCTGAGCCAAGACTGGTGATAGAACTGCCCAGTTGAAGCCAGCCCAAATTGTTGACCGCTGGAATCATAAGCTAAATAAATAGCTGTTGCTTTTAGGCATGGTTCATTATGCAGCAAAAACTAACAAAAACAGCTAATAAATAAGAACATGTTAAAACTCACAAGCAGCAAATTTAAACAGAACATCATTTTTACTCATCAAATTGACAAAAATGAAGACATGATAAGTTTGGTTCAGTGGCCCTCTTAAAGACATGGAAATAATGCATGCCACAGCAGATCACAGAAAGAGAGTCATTCATTGCGTTCGAGTTTTAAATTCGGAGGCCCTCATCTAAGTCATGACTACAAACCATCCATCCTAACTGAGATAAAAACACCTCACCAGGCAAGAAGAGAGAGCATGACGCACTTGAGCAGTAGAGTCCAATGGGATATCTGAAAGGTAAAATGTAACTTAAAATACATATGTTGAGTGTTTACCAGCAGGCTGGCTGGTTTCGTGAGTGAATCTGTGGTCATGGATTCCCCTAAAAGACCCAGCTGATATCCTGGGGGAGCTGTGGATCCCTGCCATCCCTCCCCACCTGCACCCAGGCTGCCACTGAATAGTCCTGCATGGAAGCCTCATGACATTCCTACAGAATGTTGTTCCACAAGAAGCAGCCAGATGCTTTGGGCAAGTTCACAGAATTTTCTAAAAAATGCTTAGTAAAGAAGAAAATCACCATGTATGCTAAGGGGAGAGGAAGACTCGAAGATATGACAAAAGTACACAAGAATAGCCTCCTGCAATCTTGTTTCATTCTGCCCATCACCCAGAAAGGGAGAACATCTTGGGGATGTTGCAAAAGAATTGGGAGAATGTTAGCAACAGACTTAGATACTGAGACTGGTGGTTTCCATTGGGGAGGAGCTGGGGTGGTGGGAGACATAGGTGAAGGAGATGAAGAGGCACAAAATCTCAATCATAATATAAATTAGTCACAAGGATGGAAGTACAGCATAGAGAAGATAGTCAATGGTTCTGTAACATCTTCCTGTGTTGATAGATAATAACTGCACTAGTTGGGATGAGGATTTAATCATGTAGATAACTGTCAAATCACTATGTTGTATACTTGAAACTAATACTATATTGCATATCAACTATACCTCAATAAAATAAAAATTTTTAAATAAAAAAAGCAAAAAAAACAATTAAAGTTTATTTTTTACTCACCTAAGAGTTCAACATGGATGTTCTTCAGATGCCTTTCTTACACAATGATGTGGGGACTTGTGTCTATGCACCACTATCTTTGATATGTTACTTCCAAGGTCACTGTACATCTTCTTACCAAGCTTGCTGAACAGCAAAAGGAGTAGAAAGTTCTTACCACCTCACCACTAGAGGTAAAACTCATTACTAAGTCTTGCATTCTATTCAGCTGTCACAGAGCTCCACCCAGATGCAAGGAGAGTGACTACCTAGGTGAAGAGATGTGTGTAGCAATTAGTTGTCAATTCTTCTCTGAAGTGAGTATGGGAGATTTGGTCTGGAAAACAGGAAGTAGTGAATCATTAAAATGTATGTGACATATTTTTCACATACCTAGGAGCTTTTAAGTATTGTAAAAAGCATGTTTAGTACTGTAATTAATTTCTAATCTTAATGATTTGATACCTTTTGCACCTCTTAATTTAAAAAGATAGATGGCTGAAGTGTGTTCTATAATTGTACTCTTCTAGAATACTTTCTTTTTGTTCACCCCCCAACCCCATATAAATGGAAGAGGAAGTGAGTTAAAGGAGGATTTCTGTTCCTCCCTGCAACTTCTAGTGCTTGGCCAAACATGAAAATAAACAAGCAAAGTAAATAAAACCAAAAACTAAACAACCAAATTCCTGTGTAGGCAAATATATATGGAATTATGGATTTTTTAAAGGCAGAAACAATATTCATATCTATTAGAGATAAAATTTAATGTATTTTAAGTTTCAGGAAATCAAAAGTAAAACACTTTTTCTGTGTTACTGTAATTAAGTAAGGAAAAGATATTAGGCTAGAAGAAGGAAGAGTTTGGTTCTAATTCCGACCCCAACATTTTGCATCTGTTGGCTTTGACTTAATCTTTATAAATTTGGGTTTCCTTACCTACATAATGGGGATCGTAATATCTGCTTACTTTGTTTGCATGATTGTTTTAAGAATAAGAAAAATAAAGTAGAGCTGAACCTTGAACAACAAGAGGGTTAGGGGTACTGACCTTACCTGCAGTCAAAAATCCACATATAAATTTGACTCTACAAAAACCTTAACTACTATTAGTCTACTATTGACTGGACAACTTTTGGATAATATGAACAGTCAATTAACATATTTTGTATCTTATATATTATATTCTTATAATAAAGTAAGTTAGAGAAAAGGAAATGTTTTCTAAATTGTTGCAAATCTCCAAAAATTTTTCTAATATATTTATTGAAAAATATCTGTGTATAAGTGGACCTGCACAGTTCAAAGCCATGTTGTTCAAAGGGTCAACTATACACATATACACTCTTACAACAGAGAAAAGTAATATTTAAATGTAATATGTTCTATGAAAGAAAACTCCCATTTATTGACATTTTTTATACCAAATTAATAAAACTTTAAGATATTCACATATAGCATCCCATTTTGTTAGTTATCCCTGATGTTTATTTTTTTGGCAATAAATTTAAGAATAAAACCATTTCTTTTTCTTTCTTTGATCATTTCAAAGTCTCCTAATATGCCACCTAAAAATGTTTTAACAATTACTGGAACACTGATAGCAAGATTCCTTTTTTGACAGGAATAGTCTTTGTTGTGTGTTACTTAAATAAACATATATATTTGAATAATAATTCTATCTTGATAATTTAATATAAAATTAATACTATTGCTTTTGGTATATTTTAAGATGAAAAATGAAAACTAGATATTTTAACTCCTTTGAAATAAACAGACTTTTATTTTAGGGAATTTAAAATCAGGCTTAGATTGGACTAATCTGTTTAAAAAGTGTTTGTTTAAAGTACAGATATTTCTGGAAGAATGAAACATTGCCATTGGCTTGAATTTTCTTTACAAATAAGGACAACATAGGTTGATGGTAATTGGGAAAATTAGGAAAAGAAACTAGAGGTTTGTTTACAGACAGCAATGTATGTGCCTAGTCACATTATTAATTTTTTTATAGATAATTTATTAATTCATTGTGAAATAGCACTAGTTAATTTGATGTTCACTGATTTATTCCATAATGAAATTGCAATGAATCTTAACAGATTTACAAAAGGTCATAAATGGAAAGTTTCAGTGTAATCTTAGGTACTTAAATAGGTAACTAGATGAAAACTTAAATATAAGGATATTTTCATAGGACACAAATAATTATTATTATTTCTGATCTTTGCTGAAGTTTTTCTGTTTTGAGGATATTGGTTAAGAAGTGAGACCTATTGCTTGTCTCCCTAATGCCAGGTTCTCAGAGAGTCTTTGAGGGGCCTGCATCTTCCTGGAGGTTGTTTGGTTCGAGCTCAGATGGGATCCAGAATCCTGCTGAGTCCTTGGGCAGACAGGGTAGTGACCAACTGGAGACCCCTCAGAGAACAGAGCCTTTCAGGAATTGCCTGTTCCTTTTCAGCCACTCTACAAATGGAAAGGTTTTTTGAATTCCTTTTTTCAATCATTAATTTTAATTCTACAGTTCTTCCTCTCCTCTCCCCATATTTTTACCATATGCTATTTGCCAGGCATTGGGGTAGCCACATAAAAAATGTTAAAAGACATGATTTTTTCTTCTGTGAGCTTGTATGGAATGATGGGATGGGAAGATGCCAAAGGGTGATGTAGTATCAGTATTGTATGGGCTGGAGAAATATATAGGGTTCAGAGAGGGTAGAGAGGATGGGCATTTCACTCAGCTGGGGAGGAAGGCAGGGAAAGGTTCCTAAACCTGTGGGAGTAACATGGGATGAATCTAGAAGTACAAGTCTGCCAGGCAAAGAAAACAGTAGAGGAGGGAGAGGACTTCCAGGTAAGTGAAACTTAGGAGCGAAGCACAACGTGAGAAACAACTTGAGTTTATTAAAACTACAAGTAGAGGCACTTCCTTATTTACACTTTGAATAGTTAATACTTTCTAAAGAAGTCTTATCACTCAGAAATACTCATTACTGCTTATTCAGACTCCTTCTGGATTAGCTCTATTTAGTTCTTTAGCCATCATGTGCAAAAAATAACACATCTATCTATCTGGGGTTGGCATAGTGGAAAGTCTATGAGTCATTAGAATTCTGCACACCTGGGGTCATTTCCCAGCTCTGCCACCCACTCACCATGTGACCAAAGACAAGTTACCTAAATTCTCAGAGCTTTCTTTCCTTCATCCCTAAAACAGTGATAAAAATAGTTATGCTTTAGAGTGACTTGAGGATTCAATGATGTGTTCTTGTGATATTTAGGATGGTATGAGCCCAAACTAGCCCCTGCATAAATGGCAGCTGTCATTATTATATTGGTTAATGTAAATGTCAATTTGTGTTTTTAAATATCAAATAAAATACTGAATTTCAGTAGTCATAGAAAAATGAAAGTAGATTTAATGTGTCCAAATTACTTAGGCTGAATGTTAGGCTTTTCACTCATATTTTGTTCCTTTTATATAGACAAAACTTCAAATATCATCCAATGTGTTGGATGTTGCCCATCGGTTTATAAAGGAAGTTACTCCGGATGAACTCAAAGAGGAGATTTATTCTACAAAAGAAATTAGTAAAAGTCAGCATAAACCCAAATCTCTTCTGCAGGGGCGTAGCTCTGAGGTAAGCTGAGGAAAATATAGTAGGCATTTTCTGCCACACAGGATCATGGAGACTGTTATCTATATACTTAACTAGAGCTATCTAGTTTTGCAGATTATTTTACCACATTGTTGTTTAATATGAATTTTTATTAATAAAAAACATTTTGACTTAAAAATTGTTTTAAAGGGATTGCTTTAATTCCACTAAGTACTAATTTTATTTGATGAATAATCTCTTGACTATGTTGCTTTCTGGACATTTTCTACCCTGTCAAGGAATGAATATTTGGGAGAACCATTTAAAAAAAAAAACAAACCACAATGCAGTATAACAACTTATGAAGAAGGATTTCAGATAAGCTAAAAATACAAAACCTTGCCAAGTGTTTTAGGTGACGGGCAATTTCACAGTTTTTTAAAATTGGATTTATACCAAATTCTGGTAGTTGTTCAGATTGACTACTTATCCCATGATGTGCTAGGTAATGCTTTCACCAGCTTATCTATATTTTTACAATAGATTTGCAGTTTTGATCCTTTTGCAGGAAATAATTTCCTTTAATTCTGATCCTTGTAATAGTCCTCATTCTTTCAGACACCACTTACTATTTCACTGTAGTTCAGAAATAGTGAGTAATTGGCCAGAGTCACATAGCTTATTCCTTGGAGACAGAGTCAACCCTGAACTTCAGTTTGTTGCACCCCAAACCCATACTCACAGGACATGAAATATACTCTATGCTAGTAGGACCTCTTTGCAACAAGGAACTGTGCTTTAATTGTCCAGGGAAGGCAGGATATTCACTGGATTTCACTTTCTAATAGACTTACCAAGGGTGTTTGTGAGGAATCACTGAATGAGTTATGGCCTCATCATTATAATAATAATGTGCCAGACACTGTCCTACATATTGTACATGTATTACCTCTTTTCATCCTTTCTTAATTCTTTTTTTTCAGATCAGAAGATAATGATGAAGAACAGTTTTTATAAACTGCCCAAAATAAAATTGATAGTGGAACTTAGATTTGAACCCAGACCTTAGGACTCCAAACTGCTTGCTTTTAACCACTACACAGAGGCTGTGGTTTTAGGGGTTTCTACTTTCTGCCTGTGATTTTATCTGATTTATTCTATCAAGAAAAATAGTGATAATACCTAACATTTATTAAACACCTATTCTAGGCATTGTGTCTAATCCTTTAATTGCCTTACCTTATCCCATAATCACAAAAAACATACATGTTTTGCGTTGTTATTATGCCATTTAATGGGTGAGAAAGAGAGGGAACTAGCTCCACTAGTAGGCTGTAGAGCTTACTCCTTCACCTGTGCTCTGAAATCCCTATGGTAAATGCTGCTTCTTGTCCCCAAAAGTAACTGTGCATGCTGTATAGATTCTCCATCTTTTGTCTTAACTGGAAAACCATTAATTTAGTGGTGTCATCCAGGAGTAAACATTAGAATCAATTGGAGAAATGATAAAGAAACACTTATAACCTAGTTCAGCAGCTCTGTGGGTAGGTACAGACAAGTGTGGTTTTAACAACTGCTCAGTGAGTCTGGTGAATGTTCCCAGCTGGCCGTCACTGCTGTCGCCCTCAGGTGTGCACCTGTGTGCAGTGCACATGCTGGAGAGCCAGCCAGCCCATACACTGGGTTCTCTTTTGTGCCTAAGAGCAGTGGCTCTCCAGTTGTAATAAACATCAGAAGCAGTGGGTGAGTTTGTTAAAAATGTACATTCCTGGTCTGCTACTGAATTTTGTTTTTGACATCTAGGTTAGGTTCTAGGAATCTGATTTTTAATTAGCATACCAAGCAATTAGAATGCCTGGAAGATTATAAATAGTGCTAAAGCCTGATATCTGTCTTAGGGCTTTTCTCATGGATTCCTTGAGATAAGCCAATGGATATTCTTAGAAAGGGGTGCAGTTCATGAAAGAGCTTTGATTTTAGAGACAAAAATGTGGTTTTGAAATACTGATCCTGGTTTTCTTTCAACTTTGTAACATCAAGCAATTAATTTTGCATTCTTGACCCTCTGTTTCCATTTCTGGAAAGTGGAACTATTAAGACATATTTTGCAAGGATATCACGAGGCATAGAGAATAATGGATGTACAGCCCTTAACTCCATGTGTTCCTTCAAATTTCCTAGCCTTATTGGAATTGGACAGGGCCATGTTAGGCCCTGGGTGGAAGTGACATCTAACAGTTCTGGGTTGCAACATTGAAGAGCTGATGTACAATCCTCTTCCTTCTGCCTATCTTGCCACTGCTGTAGAAGCCAAGTACTCCAAAGGCATAGCTATAAAGTGCAAATGTCTTATATTTCTGATTCATTACTTGGAAAGGAGCTGCCCTGGAGAGCTGCTAGAATCACTGCATACTAAAACCACTTTCTGTTAAGCAGTGAATTTTCAGTGCTCCTTCATTAGTGCAACACACACACACACACATACACTCTCACAGATTATTTACTAGATGCTTTAAATACCTTCCCACATACTTCTAAAACTCAATATTTTCAAACTAAATTCATCTCTCCAGAATCTATAGGTGTTACCATTGGTGGCATCCTATCTTCTGACCTTCCAAGTTAGCCAAAACAGTTATTTTCTATAGTCCTTCCTCTTCCTCCTCTGCATATCCAATCGGTTACTGTATCTCCTGTAGTTTACTGTCTAAAAACTCTCTTGAATATTTGGCCACTTCTGTCCTTATTGCTATTCCAAATATTTAAATTAACTTTTTCTCTAAGTGCAAAAGATTTATAAAGTAGAAAGCACATTTCATTCCCCTTGCAGAAATGAATAATAATTCCAGTGTTATATGTATATATTTCTCTAATATGTTGCATACTTTTCTCTAATATGAAGACATGTTTTTACACTTAACAATACAGTTTTAATATCCATATAAATACATTCTACAACCTTCTCATTCTGTATAACAGCTATAAAATAATTACATTTATTAGATATAAAGTGATTTTTTAAAATTATTTCCCACTCATCAACATTTACACTGTTCTGCTCTTTGCGACTACATATTATAGTATAAAGAGTAATTCTGATAATTTGGTTTTGCATATATGTAAGTATAGCCATATGATAAAATCCTAAAATTCCTAGTGAAGAGGATCATGCATTTGTAATGTTGATATCAACAATTGGCTGTAACATTTTAATTGATTTCCTTGCATCTACCTTCACTGTATTTTCTAATTTCTCTCTCTCTCCCCTACTACTATATAGGGCACTTCAATGACTTTGTATTTCCAGTATGTTTAAATCTAATTTCCTCCATATGGCAGGCAGGATCCTTCGTGATCTACCCCTGTGTGTCTTTCTACCCTTTATAGTTTCTCACCTCTCTTATTGCTAAAGCACACAAACTACTTACAGTTCCATGACACTGTGCTGTTTCATTTGACTCCATGTCTTAGCACATAGAATTTCCTCTCTGTGGAATACTTTCTCTACCAGTCTGTTCCCTTAGGATTCTTATTAATCTGTGTGAAGTAACCTGCTCCATACCCCCTTTCTATCATAGACTTACTAACCTGCGTCTCTCTGGCCTCCAGCTGGCACAGTGTCTGCAGGTTCCCTGATGCATTTTGTTTACACTAAATTTTTTTTACACATACTTAATGATCTTCTGTCAGCTGTACTCTTAACAATCTGTTTCTTTATTTATAATTAAGAGCTGAACACATAGGATTTTATGCTTGTATCCAGAAGACACACAATGGAGTTTGACAGTCTGATCTGATCAGTGTATGCAGTCCTCATCTGATAATTCAGCACTGGTGTGGAATTTATTTTACCTTAGTTTTCTAATTTGGCTGTTTTCTCTGATTCACCTTTATTTTTTTACTGTGTGTTCACAGTGTATCAGTATTTTGTAGTAAATCCATCCTTTCCTCCCATGATTACACTGAGAAGCATGCAATGTTTCATACACATTAAGTAATTGGTTTATTAATTCAACAAACTTTTAATGAGCATCTACTTTGTGCCACGCAGTACTCTTGGCACTGAGGAAAAAGACAAAATCTCTGATCTTATTACATTGTAATGGGGAGAGACAGGCAATAAACAAACATGTAGAGTAAACTCACATGGAGATAAATTATTGGCAGAAAAAGAAAGCAGATAAGGACTTAGAGGGGAAGAAAAGGACTCTACTTTTATGGCTCATCAGTAGTGACACCACCTACTCTCTGAGTAGGTGACTTTTGAGCAAAGAACAAATGAAATGAGTGGAATGGCTATGTGAAGATATGGAGAAGGACCTTATTCCAGGCACTGGGTAAAACTAGTGCAAGGCCCTCAAATGGGAATGTGATTGATTGGTTCTCAGAACTCTGAGAATATAAATTCGGCTTGAGTAGGATGAATGAAGGGGAAAATTGAAGGGAGTGAAGGACAAAGCAGGGAAGTAGGGCTCTGTAAGTCCCAATAATAACTGGGATGTTCATAGAAAGTCACTGGAGGACTTTGGACAGAGGAGTGACCTCATTAGATTTACAGGTTGAAAAACTGCTCTTTCTGCTGTGGGGTGGTTATAGGGAGCAGAAGGCTGGAGGAGTAGCAGGATTAGATACAAGGCTGTATCATTTGACTCCATGTGCTGGGAGAACATTGGTGAATAACATGATGCATCTGCAGTCCTGTAGGCTGAGTATTAATAATTTCTGAAAAGATCATTTATAATTGCCAATACAGTTTTAAAAAGCATATAAATACAACTTAAAACATTCTATTCTAGGTTAAAAAATAATGTGTGATTCCTAATGCCTAATGAGTAATGCTGTCTGTGCTTTAAGATACATAAAATTTATGAAAGTATGCTTAGATATATTTTGAATTGGTTTAGGTAGAAGTTTCAACCACAAAAAAAGCAGAATGTACCAATCCAAGAGATAGGCCCTTGTGTGAGGGGACATTTGATGAGGAAGCTTCTGCCCAGTCCTTTCAGGAAGTTTTAAGTCAATGGAGAACCGGACATAATAATGACAATGAGAAACTGAAGTTACACGCATCAAAACCAGGTACAGCTATTTTTATAAAATCTGTCATAAAATAAAACTGAATTTATTTTATTTATCTCCATTCTCTGTAAATATAAATGCAGTGTTCAAAAACTATTAACACTAGAGTAGCAGTTTGGTATAACTCCTCAAAGGAGTATTCACTGTATAACCATTGGTTTGTGATTTAATATTTATAGAGCCCTGTATTGGGCATTGGGAATATGTGTTTTTTTTTTTTTTCCTATCTAAATTCAGGTTGTCAAATAAATGGAGAATTGGATTCTGTCAGCTCCCCCTATCCTAGAAGAAAGTTTTTGTCAGGACAACTATTCCTTTATTGAACTGTAATTACACATGACAGGAGAATCTGTGATATAAAGAAGTAAAGAATTTGTATGTGTCTTGAAAAATATATTTCAAGGACCAATGTGAAGTTCATGGGGAGAATTGATTTGTCCTTTGTCTCTCTTTCTGAATAAATATTTCTGGTTTTTATTTTCCCTTGATTTTTATACCCTTTTTCTAGACATTAAATATCTAGATGACTGAAGTGTATAGTATCTTCGGTTTAAGTTTTCTAGTGTCTCTTAAGGAAAATCATACTTTTTAAAAGTATTCATTAGTTTTATTACTCAGATTCTTGTAGAGGCTTCCAATCACTTTTCATTTGAAGTAAAATGTTAGATAATAAATTTCAATCATAAATCTTATTTGACAGAATCTAATTTTATTATTTTTATTTCATTATTTTCCAGCACAGGAACTCTCTTGATTATTATCCTTTATAACATAGTATAATTTCTAATGTTAAGGTATTATACAGTGTCTTCCCAAGGAGAATTGGATTTTTTACTAAACAGTGTTCTCTTTTTCAAATATTTATTCCTCCATTTGCTCCTGATACATCAATTTCATTAATATTCCCAAGACTTTATCTCTTTTTTGTATGTACCTCAATATAACTCTCACTGATTGTGTCTTTTTATGTGCTTTTTATTTTCATTTTCATATTTTGATGTAATTTTTATTTTTCTACTCTGAAAGTGATTATCGAAGTACTTTGTCCACTTTGAAAGACATAATATTTAAAATAATAGAACTTATTAGATAAAGTATATCAGATTACATCAGAGAAGCCCAAAACCATTTAAAAATTCTGTTTTTGTAGTGGAAATAGCTACATAATAAGAATAATATGATTTTTTAAATAATTTGGTTATAACAAAACATTACCAAGAAGAAAATGAAAATAACCCTATTTACCATCTAGAGATAACCAATGTTAACATGTTGGAATGTATTTTTCAATAGATACAGTTACATACACTTACATACACACAAGCATCAATTGGGTAATAGTGTATATGCTATTTTTTAAGCTTTTTGTGTAGATTCTGTCAATAATAGCTTTCCATATAAAATATATAATCATTGGTAACTGTTGTATAGTATTCTATATGCCATGATTTACTTAATCAGAACTTTACTGATGGATACTTTGTTTCTAATTCTCACTATCATAAAAGAAGTTAATGGTAATACATAAGAAGATGGCCCTAGAACTGTCTAACTCCCCTACCAACTTTCACACTAAAATAGCATTCCAGAAGCAGTAACTACATTTCTGGAGACTGCAGAGATTCATGCCAACCTCAAAGACTTGAAAGTTGCAGAATACTACTTTTTCTTATATTTCCACTTAGCCTGACTATTTGCTGCAAAAGTCAGTGGTCTTGGAGAATGACTACCTTTATCAGATGATGATGATGATGCTAATCACAGTAGCTTTTCTGCACATAGTACCTTTACTAGAGAAAACCAACACATTCTTTGTGGCCGGGCAGGCAGCTATTAACTTAGCACAGGGGTTGGTAAACTTTTTCTGAAAAGGGCCATGTAATAAATATTTTAAACTTTCAGGGCCATTCTGAAGTACTCAGCTCTGCCATGGTAGTGTGAAAGTAGTCATAGACAATCATGAATAAATGAGTGTGGTTTTGTTCCAATAAAATTTTATTTATGGACACTGAAACTTGAATTTCATATTATTTTGCACTTTATATGATATATTATCATTTCAATTCTTTTCAACCATTAAAATATGTTTAAAAGGACTCTTAGTTTGAATGGCATAAAAAAACTATTAGTAACAAAATTTCACCTGAGGGCTGTAGTTTCCTGATCCTTGACCAATCAAATGCATTCTTTTCTATTCATCATAAAGATAACCAGAAATAGTTTGATTTCATGCAGCAGGGCTAACAGTTTACCTTCATGATCTCACTCCAGGCCTATATGAACTCTCCTGCTTTCTAGCATTACATAGTCTAAAAGGACTTTGATTGTCACAATATTATGCAGAAAATAATGCTTGCCCATTACATTGATGGCGTGATGCTAAGTGATTTTGGTGAACAGGGTGATTATACTGGACCCTTTCCATCATGGACAGGGCTATTATTCGTCTTCCTGGTAAAAGTTCAGGTATGGTTTGCCTTCTCTGCCTGCCATGTGTGTGCCAGGAGAAGCCTTGTTTATCACCAAAGTATTTCACACAAAACATTGTCTTAGATGAAGACACATTTTATTATGACAGAGTTATGACAGTAGGCTTATACCCAGGGAATTTCTGATCTTACCATGTGTAGCATTACCCAGAAGCAGCTGGCTTGATAGTTTTATGGAATGGCCTGCTTAAGGTTCAGCATTAGATCCAGCTAAGAAACATCTTGTGAAGTTGGAGTGCTTTACCTTCAAAATAACATGACTCCAGTTATGCTTCAGTTAAACAGGAAACTGAGACTGGCCACACATTTTGTGGATCATCAGCACTGAATTAATGATCAGGAAGGGTCACTGTACTAGCGATGTTGGTTGAGCACAAGTATCAAAGAACAATTGGCTTGTTACCACACAGTGAAGAAAAGATAGATTTCATCTAGAAACCACTGAATGGTCCACTTACTATTCTTTCTGTGTCTAGTAACAATGATCATTGGGAAAATGGCAACCCAATGAAAAGGCTTCTATAAATTTGAATATTTTGGGAATGAAGATTTGACTCACCCCACCAGGTAAAATGGTGTTGGCGGATGGTAAGGTGGATGTGGGATGGGTGGTGAAAGAAGGAAGCCATGTAATCAAATCAGTTTAAGGCTTCAAAACCAGCTACAAAAATGGAGACCACAGCAGCTGTGTTTTATGTTGACTAATTCTTTTTTTTTCTACTACCTTATTTGCTGTGTACTACTGGTATCTAACACTTTAACTTAGGGTTCATTTGGGAGGATCATTACATTAAGTACATGGTGATACACAGTAACTATAGACCTCTGTGGTTTCCCTGTGCTTCAGACATGAGTTCCTTCTTTTTTTTCCCAGAGAAGACAAAGGGAAATGGATTATTAGATGCAAAATAAGTAGACTGTGTCTCCTCAGACCCATTGTCTTCCATTTCTACCCTACTCTGTGTCCTTACAAGTTGGTCTCTAGAGGACTGTATCACCTGAGCTCCCTTGTTCTCTTGTTCTCCGGCTTCTGGTCGGGATTGGCCATTTGGAGACAGTAACAGGACACTGAAGGGTGATAAGAAAGAGGTGAAGGTGTTTACTCTCCGTCTCCTTCTTGATGAGCTGAGATTTTGTCGTGACTGTATTTTCTGCCTGTGTCATTAGCACTGTTCAGATGACTTTCCATCCATAGCCGTTGCTTTCAGTGACTTCTTAGAGCAGGTCTCTTGCTTTGTCTCTTACCGTTAGGGTTGGTAACAGCTTTCACTATTTTTAATCTCTGAGTGCTTCAATTTCACTTGTTCCCTTAACCCTACTACATAATTATAAGTTTGTCCTTTCCTTTGACTTTCTTCAAATTATTTTTTTGAGTTTTTTTTCCTATCAGGACTCTGATACAGATGATCAGAAAAAAGATTTCTAAGAAACCAAGATCTGAGTTGAGGTCTAGAAAATGAGTTGAAGAGTGGGGTCAGAAAACAGCATGTGCAAAAGTTCTATGACGGAGAGATAATATTGTGTTAATGGAACTGAAGGTAGGTGTGTGTGGCTGGACCTGAGAGACCTAAGGAGGCTATTATAGTCTATTACAAAGCTAGAGAGAAATTACATTTAGGAATTATATTACATTAGGAATTACATTACATTCTTGGCCTGGAAAGACAAGTCTGCAGAGAAGATAAAGGCTGTCATAGATACATGTAGAAAGAAGGAAGCCATGCAATCAAATCAGTTTAAGGCTTCAAAACCAGCAAATTAACATGTAGAAAGTTGGTAAAGTGTATTATAAAAACCAAAGGAGAATAGTGTTTTTAAATAAACAAGTGAGGTCAACAGTATGGTTGCTGTGGAGAAATCATTAAGATAAAGACTTTTGTTGATATAACATGTGACTTTTTTTTTGCTCTTGAGTATTCTGTATATGATTGTGTGTATTATGTCTGTTTGTAAATATTTTCCTTTCCCTAAGATAATAAATAGATACAAAAAAATCTGTAAAATTTATATAGTTTATGGTGAAAAAAAAACAGTGAACACCTGCTCTCTTGCCTTCTCCCTCCTCTTTAAGAGATTATCATTAGCTTGGTTTTTGTGTTTTTAAAAATCTCATTGATTTCCCTGCAGTTCACAGCATGTATGTATCTCTACAAACAAGATGTTGTTAGATTTGCATGTATTTAAACATTATGTAAATGGAAATCTATTATATGTATTCTTTTGTAATTTGTTTATTTCACTCATATTATTTACTGAGGTTTATATGTGAAGATGTGCATAGTTTGTTTCACTCATTTTCAGTGCTTAATAGTCTATTATGTGAATATACTACTCTTTACCTGTTTAAATATTGAGGTTGTTTGGGTTACTTCCCATTCTGCCATTACAAACAATGCTATTATGAATACCCTTACACAGCTCATACATGCACATTTCTAAGAAGTCTATTCCTGGGAGTAGAATAGTTGGGTCATAGGGTATGCATGTTTTCAACTATACTAGATAAAGCTGAATTATTTAGCAAAGTATTTCTATCAGTTACATTTCCACCTGCAGTGTATAAGAGGTTTGGTTGGTTTCCGTTATCACCAACACTTAAATTGTCTGATTTTTAATTTTCTTCTGGTCTGATAGAGATGGAATGGTATATTTAATTTGTGTACTTCATTACAAATGACGTTAAATATCTTTTCATATGTTTCCTAGCCATTTAGCTTAGTAATATACTTTGAATTTTTTTAGTTATTTCTGTTATTGATTTCTAACTTTCATTTTAACATATTCTAAAAGCTTGTATTTTTTAGTGTGTAAAAGGCAAGTACAATGGCCTGGGAAGTACAATGGCCTAGAAACTTCAATGTAATCTGAAGTCCATTATCTTTGTGATCTCATCTCCTGCTACTCCTGTCCTGACTTGTTCTCTTTCAGCCACACTGGCCTCCTGGCTATTCTTCAAACACCTCAGGCATATTTTCACCTTAAGACTTTTATACTGTCTATTAATGAAAGTACCCACCATCCCATCAATATGAATAACTAGGTATCACACCCAGATTCTCACATAAGTAGCCAGTGAACCATGAAACAAGGGAGCAAACCACAATAGGAGTTGGGTGACTTAACATTCTTTTGGTTTATTTCTATTATTGGCTTTTGATTGTTTCTGGAAGGTATTCATTAAGGGCTACTACAGTACAAGGTTGAGATTGTTCCTTAGGTTCAGAGTCTATAAAAATAATTTTTCCCATCTTTACTACTACTTCTTCCCCTCCAACATTTTTCTTCCTCTGATGGTCAGTATGCAGATAAGGATCATATCTAAGGGACTAGTAATCCTGGATTTATACTGCTTTCTTTCCTAGAAATCTCCATCAGTTTTAAATATCTCAGAATAGTGGTTTTAATTTAATAGTACTTCAGAAACACCTTAAGCATCTGGAAGTGAATTGCCATTTAGATATAAATTCATAAGGACAGTTGTCTCCTTCAGGTGCCGTTATGAGTTATTTATTTGCTGTTTCCCATAATGTGTAAATATTATTGTCAGTGGCTATCATGCATACCTTTAAGTGTCTGTGCATTCATAGAATATATAATGAATCTATATTTATCTTTATTATCTAAAAGAATTAGGTGCTTTTAAAAACTTGTGATTCCTAAGATTTCTTTCACTTCAAAGCATTGTTGAAGAAAACTGTCTATACACTTAATAAATCACCAATATTTAACTCTTTTGCATTATTGAAGCCTAAAACTATTGATTATATAGATGAATATCAAAGCACATTTGCCTCAAAAATGGTAAGTTCTGTATCTCAAGAGAAGATGTAGCAGTTTATAGACTAAGTTACATTAATTATGCACATTATACTTTTTATAGACTCATTGGAAGAATGTGAAGTACAAACTAACCTGAAAATTTGGAGAGAGCCACTTACAATTGAATTTAAGGAAGACAGTCTATCCTATATGGAAAAATTATGGCTTAAAAAACACAGAAGGTACTTCTTGAAATTTTGCAATATTAATAAAAAGTATAAAAGCTATTTATGTCTCTTGCTTATGTGACATGCTTTTTGTAGCAATTTTATACGTGTTGCATGTTTGCATAAATAATCTTAAAGCAATATTAATCCCTGTGAAGCTTCTACTGTTCTAATGAGAATTTTAATTCTATTTATGTATATGGTACATCACTAATTTAGGGATTGCCTTGAGAAATTAAACTGTATTTGTGGGAAAAAGGCACAAATAGATTATAGAATTTAAGAAAAAGAGCAAAAATAATGCAATCAATGAAAGATTACTTTGAAAAGGGACTGCTCTCAGGTTTTTTTACAATAGTATAAACTTTTTTTTTTTTTAGTTTTATTTTGGTATCATTAATCTACAATTACATGAGGGACATTATGTTTACTAGGCTGCCCCCTTCACCAAGTCCCCCCCACATACCCGTTCACAGTCACTGTCCATCAACATATGATGATGCTGTAAAATCACTACTTGTCTTCTCTGTGTTGCACAGCCCTCCCCGTGCCCCGCCCCC